TCTAAAGGAGATTCTTCTAATGTTTCATGGTTAATAGTGATATTTACTGTAGGGGTTTTATTTGGTATAGTATAAACTTTTTATTAGCTCAAGGAAGTTTTCTTCTATTTTAGTTTGCTAAGAATTTTTTAAATCACAACTGGATGTTTAATATTATTGACTGCTCTCAATGTCACTATTAACAATGATTATATACTTTTTCTTCTATAATCTGTTAACATTATGAATCATATTTATTTTCTAATATTAATCTAACTGTAATCCTAGGATTAACCCAACTTGTTAATGGTGTATGGTCATTTTTAGGCATTACTGGATTTGGTTTTCTGTGATTTTGTTTAGGAGTTTCGCGTGTATGTTCATGATTTATAGTCGCTTCTACATTTCTCTTCTCATTATATTCTTGTCAGACCTAATGTCAAACATGAGTTTGAGGCCATGGAATAATTATGCTGTGGAATAATTTGTGTAAGATGATGATTTGGATTACTACCTGAATATTTAATTAGAACTCTTTAAATGGTACCATCATCTGGACCTGGTAATTTTTATCTACTGCTTCTTTTGTGTGTGTTTACAAGAATATCCAGGTTTTTATATTTTCTTAAGATGGTTTAGATAAGTTTATTTTCTTGTAATTTGTCAATTTCATTTAAGCTTTTTTTTTTTTTTAATGGAGTCTTGCTCATGCTAGGTTGGAGTGCAGTGGTGTGATGTCAGATCTCAACTCACTGCAACGTCTGCCTCACAGGTTCAAGTGAATCTCATGCCTCAGCCTCCTGAGTAGCTGGGACTATAGGCATGCACCACCACGTACAGCTGATTTTTGTATTTTCAGTAGAGATGGGGTTTCACCATGTTGGTCAGGCTGGTCTTGAACTCCTGAACTTAAGTGATCTGCTCCCCTCGGCCTCCCAAAGTGCTGGGATTACAGGCGTGAGCCACTGCACCTGGCCTAAGATTCTAACTTATTGTCATGATATGGTCATATATCCTCTCAATAATTTTTTAATCTTTGAAGCTTCTCTGGTTATGTTCTTTTCACTGCCAATATTGTCTTTTTTAATCAGAATTTGCCAACTGTGTGGTTCTTTTCAAAGAGCCAACTTTTGACATTGCTGTTTGCATGTATTTTAGATTTTTGGTTTTGTGAATTCCATTTTTATGCTGTTTTCCTACTTTCTACATTCTTTGAGTTTATTCTGTGTTCCTTTTTCCAATTTCTTAAGTGGGAGGATTGGTTCATTGGTTCATTAATGTTTAGCTTTCTCTTTTTTCTATATGAGCATTTGGATGAACAATTTCTTTCTAAATATGGTTTAGTATATGTTCCATGTGTTTTAACATGCAGCATTTTGATTATCCTTCAGTTCACAATATTTTTTAACCTCCATTATGATTTCTTTTTTGAGTTGTTTAAAATGGATTTCTTTTTTTAAATTTTACTTTAAGTTCTGGGATACATACGTAGAATGTGCAGGTTTGTTACATAGGTATACGTGTGCCACGGAGGTTTGTTACATAGGTATACGTGTGCCACAGAGGTTTGTTACATAGGTATATGTGTGCCACGGAGGTTTGTTACATAGGTATACGTGTGCCACGGAGGTTTGCTGCATCTATCAGCCCATCTCTAGGTTTTAAGCTCCGCATGCATTCGGTATTTGTCCTAATGTTCTTCCTCCCTTGCCCCCCAACCCCCGACAGGCCCTGGTGTGTGATGGTCCCCTCCCTGTGTTTATGTGTTTCATTGTTCAACAACCACTTATGAGTGAGAACATGTGGTGTTTGGTTTTCTGTTCCTGTGTTAATTTGCTGAGAATGATGGTTTCTAGCTTCATCCATGACCCTGCCAAGGACATGAATACATGCTTTTTTATGGTTGCATAGTATTCCATGGTGTTATGTGCCACATTTTCTTTATCTGGTCTGTCATTGATGGGCATATGCATTGGTTCCAAGTGAAAATGCACTTCTTAATTTCCAAACATATAGGCATTTTTCTGGGATCTTTTTGTTACTGATTTCTAATTGAAGTTTTGATTTCTAGTTAGCTTCATCGTTATTTGGACAACATGATTGATGTGACGCTGGCACTTTTGAAATTTTTGAGACCCAGTATTGGTTCCAGCAAATATGGAACATGGAATATTTTCCATTTTGTGGCTGCCATGTTCTAAGAGCTTGTCGGATTGGATCAAGTTTGTTAATCGAGTCGTTCAGATTTTCCTGATTTTAGTTTTAGTTTGACCTATACTGAGAAAAGTCTCCTAAAAATCTCCCCTTTTAATGGTGGATCTGTTCAGTTTCTCCTGTTCTTCCCTTTAGAGCTTTCCTTCATTGACTGCTTCACTTCTTAAGAAATTTGTTTTCAACCAGTTCTCCTGGAACAGGAGGAAAATGCAGCTTGTTCCTTGTTCCATTTGTCAGGTGGGCAGTTCACGAAAGGTTGGACTCACATCTGTCATTTCCGTCAGCAGTGAGCTGTTGAGAGTATGTTCAGTTGCCTTAGTTTCGAGTCATGGCTGCACACATTTAGGACTCTGGCTCTGCTCGAGCTGTTCCCCCGCGCAGAATGCCTTTCACCTCTCCCTTTTCTCTGCCCCTTGTTCGCCTGGTGAACTCTCTTTCCGGCTCTGCTCAAAGGTTACCTCCTATTATGATTATTTGTTTCTGCTTCTGCCTCCTCCGGTATCACAGGGCTGGCACAGACCAAGTGGTCAACAAGTATTTATTGGACTGAAATGGTTTCTGCTCTTAAGGGACTCTTTTCTATGAATTATTCTCCCCTGCTCCCAATCAAATCCATCCCTTAAAATTTTAAAAACTGAGATGAAATTTCAGATAACATAAAATTAACCATTTTAAAGTAGACAGTTCAGTGGCATTTGCCACATTCACAGCATTGTGCTGCCACCGCTATGTAATTCCAAAGCACTCTCATCTTCCCCAGATGAAATCCTGTACCCACAGCCCAGGCAGTCTCTCCCTGTTCCCCCTCCCACAGCTCCTCTAAGGCACTCAGCTGCCTTCTGTCTCCATGGATTTGCCTGTTCTGGATGTTTCATATAAATGGAATCATGCAATATGTGACCTTTTGTGACCGGCGTCCCTCACTCTGCATGCAGTTCCCAAGGTTTTTCCACGTCGTAGCACGTGTCGGTGCTTCGTTCCTCTTCATGGTGGAATAATAGTCTGTTGTGCAGATGGACCACGTTTTGTTTATCCGTTCTTCTGCTGATTACTATCTGGGTAGTTTCCCATCCCTGTTCCATTTTTTTTCTCTCACTCAGCCCCATCATTCAACATTTTGCTTTTTCTGTCATGGGACAGGTTCTGGTTGAATCCAGTGGAGGTAGGGATCTTCTCCTGTTCTCCTTGACTTTTTTTTTTTTTTGAGGTGGCGTCTTGCTCTGTCACCCAGGCTGGTGTGCAGTGGCGTGATCTCAGCTCACCACAGCCTCTGCCTCCTGAGCTCAAGCGATTCTCCTGCCTCAGCCTCCTGAGTAGCTGGGATTACAGGCGCCCACCACCACGCCCAGCTAATTCATATATTTTTAGTAGAGATGTGGTTTTACCATATTGGCTAGGCTGATCTTGGACTCCTGACCTCAAGTGATCTGCCTAACTTGGCCTCCCAAAGTGCTGGGATTACAGGCATGCGCCACTGCACCGGGTCCCTGATGACTTCTTAATCCAGAAGAGCTTCTAGGGAGGTGAAGGTGTGGGGAGCATGGCGGGCCTTGGAATGAGCTTGGTGGTCAGCAAAGGGGCCGGGCATGGAGCGACTTAGCACAGAGAGCCTGAATTTCTGCCCTCGCATCTGATGAGGGACACCCAGACTGGGGACTCTTCGTGATCTTTAAACAACAGTCTCACTGGGCAGCTGCACCTCCCAGCCAGCCTGATGTTTTCATTCTTGCCAGGCTTTCCCTGGGGAGATAGGAGGACACTGGACTCAGCAGCAAGAAGGACGTTTGCTTGCTGGGACCATGCCCATGATGGCTGGCATCCCCGGGGCCCTGGAGGGTGAGGCATGAGGGGCAGTGACGCAAATGCACTATCTCCTCTCGTGGTGGGGCTTTGCAGACGCTCCGTCTGCTATCCTTGAGGTTTGGGAGCAGCCAAGTGTTTAATGATCTTCTGCACCAGCAATTTTAGGCTCCGGGAGCTAAAATTAGATCTCTCCCTGGTGCCTCCGGGAGGATGGGCTGGCTGTGTCCATCCATCCCGTGCCAGAGCGTGGCTGGGGACAGGCTGTGCGGGAGGCACAGGGGTGAGGCTCCGAAGCAAGAGTGGCTGGATGCTGCATCCCTCCTGTCCCTTCAGCTGTGCCTTCCTTGGGAGAGACAGAAAGAGCCTCTGGCTGCCCTCTCTCCTCTTGAGGGTCACTATGTCTGTGCTCGAATCCCAGCTTGACAGCTTCCCAATCCTCTGGCCTCAGGCACATCGTCCTAAACTGGACATGATAATCCCCCATGGTGGAGTTGTGAGCTTAAGCGAATAGGAGAAGGCAGAGCACAGCTCAGGGCTTGGCCATGGCAGAGGCTCTGTGAACGCTGCTCCCTTCTTAAATCTTTGTGGAAGTTTGGAAATACACAGTTTATTTATTTATTTATTTATTTATTTATTTATTTATTGAGACTGAGTTTTACTCTTGTTGCCCAGGCTGGAGTACAACAGTGCGATCTTGGCTCATCGCAACGTCTGCCTCCTGAGTTCAAGCGATTCTTCTGCCTCAGCCTCCTGAGTAGCTGGGATTACAGGCATGCGCCACCATGCCCAGCCAATTTTGTATTTTTAGTAGAGATGGGGTTTCATCACGTTGGCCAGGCTGGTCTTGAACTCCTGACCGCAGATGATCCACTGGCCTCAGCCTCCCAAAGTGCAGGGAATACAGGTGTGAGCCACTGCACCTGGCCCAGAGTTTATTTATTTATTTATTTTTAATTGTTTCTTTCTAAACTTCTTTACATGATCCCTTGCTTGGTGTGGGGTAGGAGGTGCAAGGAGGGAGGCGACAGTCAACTTTCCTTCCTGCAAAACCTCCGCATGGCCCAGTGGACTGGACCCCAGCAGAAATTAGCCAAGTGGAAGCCAGGGGACCCAGAGGGATTCAACAGGACCCAGCAGGTACCAACAAAACTTAGTGTAACTGAGAGGGGCCCAGCCTTTACCATGGGGTTACCTTCAACACCAAGGTTCCCCCACCCCTACCCTTCAAGATACCTGGGTACCTTTCCTTGTCATTGTGACTTTGGAGCCCTCTAATCAGTCCACGTGAGAGCCCCTCCGCTTCTCTCCTCACCTCCCACCTCCCTCTCCCGGGGAAAAACGGCTCAACCAGGAGCAGTGCAAAGAAAGCTCTCCGGGTCTTCTATCCCCTGAAGAGCAGCTCTGTCAGGCTGGGAAAATGGTTGTATTATTCTTCTGCAGAACTTATTAGATTAGAAACTTAGTACAAACAGCCCCAGCTGCAACCGCTATACATAGTACTATCAACAAGGAAAATTTATGCTTGAAAAATAAAAAGAAACTCGAGTGCATTAGTCAGAGTGAGGAAGTGTTCACAAAAAAAGGTTTGTTCTCCAAGTAAACAGCCACAATGGAATTGTAATCAAATTTCTTAATTATTTCTATAAATCTTGGGAACATAAAAATACACAAGGCCCTTTTTCAAAAAGTCACTGTTTACAAGTGCCTTGGATGAGAGAAGAGGTAACTGAAACAGCTCTTGCGTGACTGGAAGATTCCAGAAGGGGTGACGCCATGATTCGGGGACTGAGAGCACAATCCCTCCTCACACACCAGGAGCAGAGGCTGAGGGGGCCGTTTCTGAGGGGACGCCATGAGAGCTGCATTTAGGGCAAGTGCAGAAAGAACCTAAGACCTGGTTGTGCAGTGCTCAGCTTCTTCCAGTCAGGAGAGGCTGTGGTGAGCAGGAGGCTGGTGGCCCTGGGGACCTGGGAACTGAGGGGAGTTAGAGCTTCTTCTAGGGGGGTGGGAGGAGCTGGGCATCACTGGTGCCCAGCCCAGGCGAGGCAGAGGTGCCCTCTCAGTCCTTATCAGGCAGCAGCTTGTGGGTCTGGGGTGGATGGTTTTTCCCTGCTGTGTGTCTAAGGCAGAAGGGAATGACCTGGCATCCAGATCCACCATCGAACCTTCCCTTAGGATTAGGGAACAGTTCTTTTGTAAACTGTTTGAAAATAATTTGGAAAATTAGAAATGTAGAAACAAATGGTCTAAGTTATCTTGACACATTCTGGTGTGTGTGTGTGTCTGCGTGTGTGTATGTGCGTGTGTCTGCATGTGTGTGTGTCTGCGTGTGTGTGTGTGTCTCCGTGTGTGTGTCTGCGTTTGTGTCTCCGTGTGTGTCTGCATGTGTATATCTGTGTCTGCATGCATGTGTGTCTATGTATGTGTATGTGTCTATGTGTATGTGTGTGTGTCTGCATGTGTCTCTGTGTGTGTCTGCATGTGTGTGTCTGTGTGTGTCTGCGTATGTGTAAGGCAGAGTGCAGGAGTGGGTCAGGCGCTTTGGCCCATGTGCCCAAGCACACATTTAGATGTTGGCACTTTTCAGGTGTCCAGGTGTTGCCTCTTGTCCCAGTGGACACTCTGGGAAGGACAATAGACAGGGTCGTTGACATCTGGCCATGGTGCAGCTGGCAGTTTTAATGCCATGGACCCTGTGATGGAGACAGATGCGTGTCAATAACATAATATTTTTCCATGCAGTAATGTTCGATACTGGAATTACTGTTCTTCTGTTTTCTGTTCTACTACAACCCGCTTAGCTCTTCAAGAAAGCCAGATAGAGTATCTTGTTTGAACAGTTGGCCACACGCTCGCATGATAACACAATTCCATTAAAATGTTCATACCTTCAGCAGAAAGGCACCCCGCCAAATGCTCTATGTGTTGTATTAAGCCATAAGCAGAATTAAAGTGTGGAATCCCAGCCTTTCCAAATTGTGCTTTCCATTACAATGGATGAGTGCAGGAGTTGTCTGGGGCAGTTGGGGGTGGGAGCCTGCAGGCTGGGAAGGGGCAGGCGACTGCACTGTTAAACTCCAGGTCCAAATCCTGCATCCACCCCAGCTGCTTGAAGTGGGGTGTCCACTGGGGTCAAACCCTCAGTTCATCAAACACTGCCTTGATACAAAGCCCTGTCCCTAGCCGGGACTTCTCCCCTCCCCTCTAGGCAGTCCTCAGCTGAGCGGAGCAGGTGCACAGGCACGCATGTCCTTTCAGCCCCCAGGTATTTGCAGGTCCTGGACTGACAGGCTTTGCCTGAAGCTCTGTGGGTTTCAGACAGGCTCTTTCCTGCCGATTTACACTGTAACTTCATAAATAAGCCATTTTCATTGTCATTGATCTTGTCAGTGGTCCCCCACACTTTTCCAAATCATCTCTAGGCAAACTCTGAAGTGGGTCAGGAAAGCTGCTCCCCCAAGGGAGGGCAGCCTGGAGCTGCTGCAGCTCCCACCACGTGGCCTTGGGGGCATGCACCTCCCTTAGGCTATTCCGACCTCAGATTCCTCCTGTTTGATAATGGGGGTGGAGCGGGTAGATGCCTCTTGTTCATGTTAAAACAATGGAATCTTTTGTAATGCGATGAGCGTCCCCTGCTGCATTTTGTCACATCAGTTTTGCAGCAGGGACTCTCTTAAAGCGAGCTGCACTTGTCACCGCAGCTAGAGCTCTCTGTCTGAGCAGGAGGAGCAATGTGAAGGTGAAACTAAAGGGAAGAAGACCCCAAACTTAAGGCATTCTGAGTTCTGTGGGAACTAAAAGCCCTGGGAGGCTGGGGTGGCCAAGGGAGAGGCAGGCCGCTAACTCCTTCCACCTTGCTCTCTAGGCAGAGGGAGGGACCTTTTCCAAGGGAACGATGCTCTTACATTATGGAAGACTTCTGTACTGAACACACAGGGTGGTTCATAGGGTATCTTCAGGCCTTGGAGTCAGGGGCCTACAGATGCTAAAGTCCAGATGCTCTTTTAGTCTAGACGCTTTCTCCAGCTCCAGCTGCTTCTGATTCTCCAGCTCGTTAGTGCTTTTTCCCAGTTGGCCTGGGTTAGCCATTGGGATAGACAGATCCTGAGGGCATAGGAGCACTCGTGGTTTCTACTCTGGATCCTTCCAGAGCATATTTAATCAAGACATTTTTGCAAGAGTAGATGAATTGGGAGTCAGTAAAGTGACAACAATGTGAATTGTAGCAACGGTCAGGCCACCCCCTGGTGGTGCCATCTTGGACAGGCCGTCTGACTGGTGTCCACAGGGGAGAGTGTTATGGACCAGGCCTGGAAGTGGCATGCATCATTTACGCCACTTTCCACTGTGCAGGAGTGAGTCACAAGGGCAATAGACCATGCCCCTCCCCCACACAAGGCCCCTCCTACATACCAAGGCACCTTCCCACAGAGGCCCCTCCCACACGCTGAAGCCCCTCCCACACACTGAGGCTCTTAGATACTGTGGACCCTCCAACACATCAAAGCCCCTCCCACATGCCAAGGCTTTTCCCCACACAGTGAGGCCCCTCCCACACACCAATTCCCCTCCCACACACTGAGGCCCCTTCCCCACACAGATGTTTCTCCCGTACACTGAGGCCGGTCCCACACATCGAGGTACCTTCCACACACTGAGGCTTCTTCCAACACATCAAAGCCCTGTCCAGATACCAGTGCTCCTATCCCCATAGAGGACTCTCCCACACCTGAAGCCCCTCTCACACACAGAAGTTTCTCCCACACAGAGGCCCCTCCCATACACTGCAATCTCCAATGCATGGAACTCTCCCCATACAGAGGCCCCACCCACACTCTGAGACTCCTCCCACACACTGAAGTCCCACACATCGAGGTACTTCTCACACACCGAGGCCTCCTTCAGCACATCAAAACTCCTCCCATACACTGAGCCCCTTCCCACACACTGAGGCTCCTCCCACACAAGGCTCCTCCGACACACTGAGGCTCCTCCCACACACTGAAGCTCCTTCCCACACACTGAGACCTCCTTCAACACATCAGAGCCCCCGCTCACATGCCAAGGCCCCTCTCACACATTGACCTGCCTTTCTTCCAGAGAAGTCCCTCCTGAGGAAAAGGTTTGAACACTTAAAAGAATAAGGAGATCTGTTCCTTTTGTTCCTCCATCTGTGCCCAGGGCTGCCAGAACTGGTGCAGAGTGTGGGGCCACAGGAGGAATCCCTGTTTCTCCCCACTATGCTCTATCTCTGCGACTGTTTTTAAAAGGCTCTTTTAAAGGGGTTGTGAACAGTTATCCCCTGTTTGTCCCTGCCCTGATTTATATTTCTAGTGACTATTAATTGCCTACCAAATGAAGGCTCAGCGTTTGTAATTAGGCTGGCAAATTCTACCTGACATCTTTCGCTCTGTGTTGGGGCAGGGAGGGAGCATGTGTTAACGGTGTTGAACTAAGCCACACCCCTCCCCCAGCCTGTTGATTAACCCCAGGTTCACTAATCAATAAAGTCTAACTGGTTCTCTTTGCATTTACATCCTGGCTTGACTCTTAGCCAAGGGCTGAGGGCTTTGGTTCCAAAACATTTTCTATGCCCAGAGAAGATGCCTCTCTGTCTTGATCTTGCAGAAGGAACTCTCTCCCGGAATGGGTAGGGTGGGGATTCCGTAAAGAGCCAGAGGGAGAAGGGCACTTGTGGGGTAGCCAGGCTGCAGAGAGCTCCCTGTAGCTGTTCTGGAGAATGAAGCCCTCTTCAGACCCCTTTATAAGAAGTCGGCCATAATTCAGCAGAACACAACATGGTATCATGAAGCCTCAACCTCAGGGATTTCCTTCGTTTTCTGTTCTTTTAATCTTTACAAAACACTATTGAATTGGAAGCATCCATTCTCAGCCACAGCAGGTGGCTTGGCAGTGGCTGCAGAGGAGCTGTCCAGGATGCTGGCTGCGTGAACCAGGGAACAACCCAGGATTCATGAATACTTTCTGGCACGACTGGTGCCCTAAGTGCACCCGTACAAGCATCCCAGGGTGTGTTCCTGACCAAGGTGAAGCATCTCTGTGCCCCTCTGTGGCCGCTGCTCCCAAACACATGGAAGGACGAATGCTGATATGGGTTGTGCCTTGCCCGCAGCAGGTGCCCAATGACTTCACTCAGAAAAATGGCTGCTAATAACAATTCAAAAGAGTTATACATCAGTCATGAACATCTGTGCATGAAATAACACAGGAACCCACCTTTATAAAGCAGGAACTGTGAAAGAAACCAGGAGATGCAGAGAAAACACACTAATAATGGAAACATTTAATGTACCACATTCAGCACAAGGCAGATCAAGTGGAAAGAAATGTAAGTAGAATCAAGAAGGTAGGTATTATGAAGATATATATATGTCTTTATATATATATATATACATTTATGCCACAATAATATAGAATATGCCTTTTTCTCAGGTGCACATGGAACATTTACAAAAAGTTATATATTAGGGCACAAAGATTTCAGTAAGTTCTACAAGGTAGAAATATTATAAATAATACTTTCTAACCATAGTGCACTAAAACTGGACATTATTAACAAAGGCAAAAAGATGTGAAGACCCTATCACCTAGAAATAAAAAGCAACATATTAACTCTTAGATGAAATGGGGAAGGTAAGTTAAAAGTTAAAAAATAATCATAATGTAAACACTAACTACGAGAATTTATGAGATACATTTAAAGCAGTGATCAGAGGGAAATTCATATCCCTAAACACTTTTAATAAAAATATAAAAATGAGGCTGGGTGCGGTGACTCACACCTGTAATCCCAGCACTTAGGGAGGCCAAGGCGGCCAGATCACGAGGTCAAAAGATCGAGACCATCCTGGTTAACATGGTGAAACCCCGTCTCTACTAAAAATACAAAAAATATCTGGGTGTAGTGGTGTGCGCCTGTAGTCCCATCTTCTCAGGAGGCTGAGGCAGGAGAATTGCTTGAACCCGGGAGGCAGAGGTTGTGGTGAGCCGCGATCACACCATTGGATTCCAGCCTGGGCAACAAGAGCGAAACTCTGTCTCAAAAAAAAAAAAAAATACAAAAATGAAAATAAGTGAACTAAGTTCTTAGCCCAAAAAGCTAGGTAAAGAAGCACAAGGTAAACTGAAAGAAAGCACAAGAAAGAATAATAAGGATAAAAGCAGAAAATAATAAGGTAGAGAATGAAAGAACAGTAGAACTGATTGGCAATCCCTAAATACGGATTTTTAAAGTATTTAAAAATGAATGAAACACTTGCTAGTATAAAAAATGTAGAGAAAGCACAAATATATGAAGTAAATGACAAAAGAGACATAACTGTTGACAAAGAAAAAATTTTTATGAGATTAGGCTAGGTGCAATGGCTCGTATCTGTAATCCTAGCACTTTGGGAAGCAGAGGTGGGTGGATCACCTGATGTCAGGAGTTCAAGACCACCCTGGTCAACATGGCAAAACCCCATCTCTACTAAAACTACAAAAATTAGCTGGGTGTGATGTCACATTCCTGTAATCCCAGCTACTTGGGAGGCTGAGGGAGGAGAAATGCTTGAACTAAAGAGGCGAAGGTTGCAGTAAACCGAGATTGTGTCATTGCACTCCAGCCTAGGTAATTAGAGTGAAACTCCATCTCAAAAAAAAAAAAAAAAGATTATTTTGTAGACCTCTATAAAAATAATATGAAAACAGTACCAATTTGCTCTAGGAAGCTTAAAGCTTAAATAAACCAATTTCCATAAAAGATCTAGAAAAAATCCTGAAGGAACTACCCCAAAACATCATCAGACCTCTTTTTTTTTTTTTTTTTTTGAGACAAGGTTTCACTCTGTCACCCAGGCTGAAGTGCAGTGGTTTAATCATGGCTCACTGCAGCCTCCATCTCCCAGGCTCAAGCCATCCTCCTACCTCAGCCTCCCAAGTAGGTGGACTACTAGTGCGTGGCACCACACTTGGCTAATTTTTGTATTTTTTATAGAGATGGGGATTCACCATTTTGCCCATGCTTGTCTTGAACATGAGGCTCAAGCAATCCACCTGTCTTGGCCTCCCAAAGTGCTGGGATTACAGATGTGAGCCACCACACCTGGTTCAAACTTTCAAAGACCAGATATTCTCCATTCTTTTTTTTTTGTTTGTTTTGAGATGGATTTTCACTCTTGTTACCCAGGCTGGAGTGCAATGGCGCGATCTTGGCTCACTGCAACCTCCGCCTCCTGGGTTCAGGCAATTCTCCTGCCTCAGCCTCCTAAGTAGCTGGGATTACAGGCACGCACCACGATGCCCAGCTAATTTTTTGTATTTTTTAGTAGAGATGGGGTATCACCATGTTGGCCAGGATGGTCTCGATCTATTCTTTATTAATTGCTTTAGAGAACTGAAAATAAAGGAATGTGTTTTAAGTCTTTCTTCAAAGTAAGTACTGCATTGACACCTGAGTCTGAAAAGGCAAGAATAAAAATGAAATTACAGAACAATATCACTTATAATCTTATAAATATTGAAGTAAAAGTGATAAACTAATTATTCATAAACCAAACCAATAACACAATAAGAAATCAATGCACCATGACCAAATGGTGTCTTTTCCCCAGGAATGCAAGGTTGGTTCAACATGAGGAAATCTATTAATATGACATTTTAATAGATCTAGGGAAAAATCATGATTATCTCTGTAAATATTGAAAAGCCTTTGAAAAAATTCAATACAGAGTTCTAATATATCATTGAAGAAAATAGGAATAAATAGAGGCTTTTTTAACCTGATAAAATATTTGAATCCCAAAGTCAGGATGCTTGTTGATGGTAGAATGCTAGAGGCATTTCCACTAAAAGACCAGGATCAAGGCAAGGATATTCATTATGTCTACTACTATCCCACAATTGTACTGGAGCTATTAGCAATTAGATAAGAGAAATCCTGGCATGGATATTAGAAAAGAAGAACCAGAACTATCTCAGTTTTCACATAATATGATAATATACTGGGACAACCTAGAGAATCAATGATAAAAGTAAATTAAACAATAAAAGAAGTCATTATGCTAAGAAAGACAAGTTATCATACCGAACTTATTAGCTTTCTTATACATAAATAAGAACCAGTGTGAGGATGGGATAGCAACAAAGAAAAAGGTATTTAGGAATAAACTAAGAAAGATACGGGCAAAGCCTTGATAAGAAATATTTTTAAGCTCTTCTGAAAGACGTGAAAGTAGTCTTGAACAAATAGACGTCCCTTGATCTTGGACGGGTTGATTTAACATCATAAAAAAGACAGTTTGTCCCAAGTTTAATTTATGAATTTAACACAATCCCAGTGAAGATATCAGTAAGTTTTCTTATGGAGCTAGACAACTGATACTTAAGTTCACATGAAAAAACAAATATGCAGTAACCACAGTAACCCTGAAAATTAAGAACTCCTGGGAGGAATAGCTTTACAAAACATTAAAATGAACTATAAAGCCTCTATAATTAAAACAGTGTGGTGAAATTGATGCATGAATATTCAAAATAGCAGTAGAATTGAATAGAAAGTCTTGAAATATACCCGAGAACATACGGAAATTTAGTATATGACAAAGGTGGTGTCTGAAATCACTGGAGCAGAGATTACCTTTTCAACACATGGCGCCAGGATGACCAGGCAGCCTTTGGAAGAAGATAAAATTAAAGCATTCCTTCCAGTATATACAAGAATAAATTCCAAATGGATTGATATCTAAATATAAAAGGTGAAATCATAAAAGTACTAGAAGTGGCTGGGCGCAGTGGCTCATGCCTGTAATCCCAGCATTTTGGGAGGCCAAGGCAGGAGGACAGCTTGAGCCCAGGAGTTCAAGACTAGCCTGGGCAACATGGCAAAATGCCATCTCTACTAAAAATACAAAAACTCTGGTGGGAGGATCACCTGAGCCTGGGGAGTTTGAGGCTGCAGTGAGCCATGATCATGCTACTGCACTCCAGCCTGGTTGACAGAGTGACACCCCATCTCAGGAAAAAAAAGAAAAAAGCACTAGTGAGAAGAAAACATTAGTGAGTTTTTATGTAACATGGGTGTAAGAGAAGGTCTTCTAACAATGACTCAAAATCCAGATGTAGTTAAAGAAAAGACTGGAGGCTGGGCACGGTGGCTCAAGCCTGTAATCCCAGCACTTTGGGAGGCTGAGGCGGGTGGATCATGAGGTCAAGAGATCGAGACCATCCTGGTCAATATGGTGAAACCCCGTCTCTACTAAAAATACAAAAAATTAGCTGGGCATGGTGGCGCGTGCCTGTAGTCCCAGCTACTCAGGAGGCTGAGGCAGGAAAATTGCCTGAACCCAGGAGGCGGAGGTTGCGGTGAGCCGAGATCGCACCATTGCACTCCAGCCTGGGTAACAAGAGCGAAACTCCGTCTCAAAAGAGAAGAAAAGACTGGCAAGTTTGATTACAAAAACTAAACACTTTTGATGTGGGAAAAGGAAAAAGAAAAGAAAAGAAAAAGGCCACCATAAGCACAGTCAAAATGCAAATGACTTTGTAGGAGAAGGTATTTGCAACATCTATCAGAAGGGTTGATATCCCCGATATGTAAAGAACTGTTAACATCGAGGAAGGGATACCTGATAGAAAAGATGGGCACAAGACATGAAAGCTAATTCACATCAAGGATATTCAAGTGGCCTTTAAGCAAATGAAAAGTTGTTCAACTTCACTCATAATTAGAGAAATGGAAATGGCTTTGGGCTGTCATTTTTAATCTGTCAGATTGGCAAACATGAAAAAGCTAGGCCGTGAGGAGATAAGCAATCCCACAGGTTGCTGGAGGACTACACATGGGTACAACCCTTTTGAAGGGAAGCGTGGCAGTTGTGTTTGTCTGCTTTGCATTGCCATAAAGGAATACCTAAGGCTGGCTAATTTATAAAGAAAAGAGGTGTGATTTGGCTCACAGTTCTGGAGGCTGTACAGGAAGCATGGTGTCAGCATCTGCTTCTGGTAAGATGTTTTAATCGTGGCAGAACGGAAGGGGAGCTGGCGTGTTCCATAGGGAGAGGGGGAGCAAGAGAAAGAGGAGGAGGTGCCATGTACGTTTTAACAACCAGCTCTCCCGTGGTGAATTCATTGCCGAAGGGAGGGGCCAAGCCCTTTATGAGGGATCCATCCCAGTGACCCAAACAACTCCCACCAGGCCCCAGCTGCAACTTGGGGACCACATTTCAACATGAGATTTGGAGGGGACAGATATTCAAACCATATCAGCAATATCTATCATAACTGCCTGTACATGTCCATTTTGACCCAGAAATCCCACTTCTGGGAATTCACTCTTGAAGATATACCTCAAAAGTATGAAAATACTCACACACAAAGTTATTCACTACAGCATTCCTTGCAATTCCAAAATACTGGGAACAGCCTGAATGTCCAAACACAGTGGGGTGGTGAAATAACTGTTGCATCATACACAGTACCTGGCACAGTGGAGTCCTGCGCAACTGTGAAAAAGAAAGAGGAAGGCTTCTATGAACTGGCATGGGTTGTATCCCAGGTATGTGACAAAGGCGAAGTGCAAAAGAGCATCTGTGGGTGCGAGTAGGGAGTGAAGGCAGGTGAGCACGACAGTTCTTGGCGTAGTGCCGGTGAGAGTTGCACACTCTATGCTTTCTTAAAACTTGTCAGATTGTACACCTATAGTGAGTAGATTTATGATATGAAATTATGCCTAAACAAAGACATTAAAAGGACATCTTTATTATGCCACTATTGTATAGTGAAGAAAGTAAAATAAATTTATCCACAATAGTCAAGATTTGGAAGCAACCTAAGTGTCTACCAACCAACAGGTGAATGGATAAAGAAAACATGGTACCTCTACACAGTTGTATACTATTCAGCCATAAGAAGAGTGAGATCCTCTCCTTTGCAACAAACAACGTGGATGGAACTGGAGGCCATTGTGTTAAGTGAAATAAACCAGGCACAGAAAGACAAACTCTTCATGTTCTAGTTTATTCTTGGGAACTCAAAACAATTGCTTAGAGATAGAGAGAAGAAGGATGGTTACCAGAAGCTGGGAAGGGTAGTGGGAGCATTAGGGATGGTTAATGGGTACAAAAAATAGTTAGAAAGAATGAATGAGACCTAGTATTTGCTAACACGGTAGGGTGTCTATAGTCTATAATAATTTAATTGCAATTTAAAAGTAACTAAAAGAGTATAATTGGATTGTTTGTAACACCAAGGATAAATGCTTCAGGTGAGGGACACTCCATTTATCCTGTTGTGATTATTATGCATTGCATGCCCATATCAGAATAGTTGTGTACCCCATGTATATATACCTACTATGTACCAAAAAAAATTAAAAATGAAAAAAATTAAAGTAAAATAAGAAAATATACACATATCTGTGTTGTTGAGTAAGAAAGAAATATAGGAAAGGAGAGTTAGAATCTAATGAGATTGATTACTGATGGGGTTGTTGGGAGCAGGGTTGAAGGGTGGGAGACAGGAGTCAGTGAGATTTCTCTGAGTATATCTGTTGTGTGCTTTTGACATTAATCATCTTGTCAGTATTTCAAACTATAAAACAAAAAGCATCAAGGGCTAGAGATGAAACCTAATGTGGAATAAAAGCAGAAACAAACGAAAGCAGCTGTATTTCAAATGGATACAGAGCCATGTTGAAAGTTGCGGGAGCTCCCCAGGCAACTTTTGGGCTTTGTATTTTGACCGTATACCACCAGGCTAATAAGAGAAAAGAACTGTAAAAAACATACATATGACTACTCTAGTAGGGTTTGTTTTTTTAAAGTGATGTGGATTAGCAGTTCTGAAATGATTTATATTCAAGATTGAAGAAAGATGTAAATATATTGTGAGTCATGGGAGCCATTTTTCCCCTAAATCAGTGAAGGGAGTTACGCAGATGGGAAGGTAGAAGCTGGTCCTGTGGTGCTGGGTTGGAGTTTGAGATATCAGGATGAACACATACACACACAGAGAGTTCTAGAAATAAGTGCATGTATTAATGTAGCTGTCTGCTAAGACAGCCTGGAAGCAATGATGTCTCAGTAGTAAAGCTGGCACCCTGATCTTTTTTCCTAAATAGCGTCTCCACTAACTGGTAGCAGGGCAATATGGTTAATTCTAGGGTTAGGGCAGAGATAGTACAAATGAGCCTGGGAAAATTTGGACCAGAAAATAAGGAAGAACTCACACACTCATGGAGATGTGGCAAAAGGCACAGAGCTGCTGGGCGCGGTGGCTCACCCCTGTAATCCCAGCACTTTGGGAGGCTGAGACAGGTGAATCACCTGAGGTCAGGAGTTCAAGACCAGCCTGACCAACAGGTGAAACCCCAACTCTACTAATAATACAAAAAAATTAGCTGGGCATGGTGGTGGGCACCTATAATCCCAGCTACTCAGGAGGCTGAGGCAGGAGAATCGCTTGAACCCAGGAGGTGGAGGTTGCAGTGAGCCGAGATCACGCCATTGCACTCCAGCCTGGGCGACAAGAGCAAAACTCTATCTCAAAAAAAAAAAAAAAAAAAAAAAAAAAAAGACAGAGCTAGGCACCTGCTTGTCAGATCTGTAATAACTGAGCATCAACATTAACATAAATAAGTGGAAAAGAAGGAAGAGTGTTTCTTATAGTAGATTGACAATGCAGAAGGAATTTACGTAGTCCCAACACATCTCCCCACAAAATTCTTACTAATTTCAAAGGGGGAATTACAATTTTACAATGAATAAATACAGCAGATACTACCTGAATCAAGTGATCAAAATACACCATGAATACCCGGACAAATGGACAGCTGTGGCTCTGGCTGGAAGCACTGAGGCCTTGCCGTCGTTTCTGTGATATTCCTGCCCGTACAACCTGAATCTAATTATGAGGAAACATTAGACAAACCCAAACTGAGTGATGTCTACAAAATAATTGGCCTTTCCTCTAAGAAAAATGTCAAGGTCATGAAAGAACAGTTCAGATTAAAGAAAACTAAAGAGACACAAAAACTGGATGTTTGCGTAATGCTGGACCTGATCCCGGACCAGGCGAGTTTGTGTTCTTTTCTTTGGCTCTCAAGGGCATGATAGGACACTTGGTGAAATCTGAAGGACTGTGGATTAGATATTATGTTTTGTGTCAGTGTTAACGTTCTGATTTTTAAGAAACACACAGTGAAGAGGTAAGGAGGCACTGTGGCTTTGTCTTGCTCTGAAACAGTTCAGAAAACAATGTGTATGTGGGGATATATTTGTGTGCATGTCTGAAGGGAGAGAGAGAGACTGAAGGGTAAAGAAAGCCAATGAGATACCAACATTTGGGGAATCTGGGTGAAGGATATGCAAAAATTACTTGTACAATTTTTTTTTTTTTGAGATGGAGTCACACACTGTTGCCCAGGCTGGAGTGCAGTGGTGGGATCTCGACTCACTGCAGTCTCCGCCTCCTGGGTTCAAGCGATTCTCCTGCCTCAGCCTCCTGAGAAACTGGGACTACAGGTGTGCGCCACCATGCCCAGCTAATTTTTTTGTACTTCTAGTAGACCCGGGGTTTCACCACTTTGGCCAGGATGGTCTCGATCTCCTGACCTCGTGATCCGTCCACCTCAGCCTCCCAGAGTGCTGGGATTACAGGCGTGAGCCACCACACCTGGCCTACTTGTATTATTTTTGCCAATTTTCTGTGTCTTGAAGTGTTTCAGAATAAAAAATCTATTAAAAAGTGAGATAGTATAATATCCTTCTTAGTAGTGTTAAGGATTAAATGAGATAATACCCAGCTAGTACTGGGGACCTGAACATAGGAATCATGAAAGAAATGATAATTTTGATGATCAGGTGTGATGACGGCATGATGCTGGCTCTGAGTTGACCCATTAGAGATGTCCCTTTCTTATTGGGGGATGATAGATGGCAGCCTCCTTCATAGCAGGAGCCCTGAGCTGAGAATTTGGTGGGTTCCCATCAGCCCTGACACCCACTGCTCTGTGACTGCAAGTTGGCAGTCATTCTAGTTTCATTTTTTTGGAGGGGGTACCTTCTTCTTAGGCCTACTTTTGAATGAGTTTTATTCATTCATTATTTAATGTATTCACTCATTAACATCATTTATCGAAAATTATGTGCCAGGCACTATTCCTTGCAATAAGCCAGCTCCACAGGGAATGAATGCTGTAGTTTAGGGGAGAGAAATATGCACCATGGTAACAATATAGAGAAGCACAACCCGGTACATATTTCCTGCTGAGGTGCAGTTCAGGAGTCTTCCTGGCGGGTGGTGGGGTGGAATTCAGTCTTCCTAGTGGGGTGTAATTCAGGAGTGTTCTGGTGGGTAAAATTCAGAGTCTTCCTAGTAAGGGGTGATTCAGAGCCTCCCTGGGAAGTAAGTGCTCACATGGTCTGGGAGAAGGGCCAGAGTGCTCACCTGTGATGGGAGGAATATAGGATGGACAGTGAGGCCGTGCTGGTCACTGTCCTGAGAGTATGAGAAAGTGGCTGGGACACAGGGCAGGGTGGGCGCTGGGGCATTTGAACCATGATTGAAAATGACTGCAGGTTTGTAGAGAGGAATATGGGCTCGGGAAGCAGTTCCAAACTCAAGAATCCTGACCAGTGCCAGCCTGCAGAGTTTTAACTGGTTTACGGCAGAATATGAGAAATGAAGACGATGGTGTCTGATACTCACTGGGAAGGACTGCCAACTGCTCTTTCTCGGGAAGAACTACTTTTATGCCTGAGCTCATTTTTTAACATAAAATACACATTCTTTTATGAAATTATATTGAAAGCAGATGGCAATTTTTTTTAACGTACTTACTTAGCAAAATAAAAAGTTGTCAGTCCTATATTTGTCTCCCCATTAAATTTTTAAATACTGGATTATAAAATCTAAACAGCTGGGAACTTAAGCATTCTAGACTTCCTGAATGAAGTTTCATGGTAATTTCTGGTTTAAAAAATGTATTTTAAAAAACGTATATAATATTTTTAACATACATGAAATTATAGAGAATAAGAGGTACATCGGTTCACCTGCCCTCTGGATTTCAGAAAAGCGCATACTCCCTGGTACCAACCTTCATTATTTTTGCATTTTCATTTTTACTGATGATTTGTTTACCCATCCTTTCCCCCTCCAGCCCATTAGAGTGGGGCCTGTGTTTGCATGCAATTATTTTGATAGAGCTTTTTGGGCGCTCCTTCTTGGAGACAGAAGGAATATTGGGATGGACTCTGTATTAGTTTGTTCTCACACTACTGTAAAGAAATACCAAGACTGGGTAATTTATAAAGGAAAGAAGTTTAATTGACTCACAGTTCTGCATGGCTGGGGAGGCCTCAGGAAACTTACAGTTATGGTGGAAGCCGAAGGGAAAGCAGGCACCTTCTTCACACGGTGGCAGGAGAGAGAAGTGGGCAAGAGAGGATCTACCAAACGCTTATAAAGCCATCAGATCTTGTGAGAACTCACTCCCTAACCTGAGAACAGCATGCAGGCAACCAACCCCATGGTCCAATCACCTCTCACCAGTCTCTCCCTAAACACCTGAGGATTACAATTCAAGATGAGATTTGGGTGGGGACACAAAGCCTAACCATATCAGGGCCCAAACAAACCATTACACTTTTAAAAGGAAATTGTGGCGAAATGTACCTGACATAACATTTCCCACTTTAACCATTTTCCAGTATACTGTTCAGTGACATTAAGTATGTTCACGTTGTTGTTTGACCATAACTAGTATCCATCTGCAGAACTCTTTTGACTTTCCAAACTGAAACTCTGTACCCATTAAACAGTAACTCCTTCCCTCTCCCACAACCCTGGTAACTACTGTTACACCTTCTGTCTCTATGAATTTGACTACTCCAGGGGCCTCATACAAGTGCAGTCATGCAGTATTTGTCCTTTGTGTCAGACTCATTTCACTTAGCATTTCGTCTTCAGGGTTAATCCATGTTGTGGCAGGTATCAATATATCCTTCCTTTTTAAGGCTGAATAATATTCCACTGTAATCCATATTTTGTTTAGCTACTCATCTGTCAATGGAAATCTGAGTTGTTCTCTACCTTTGGCTGTTGTGAACAATCCTGCAATGAACATAGGTGTGCAGATATTTGTTCAGTTCCCTGACTTAATTTCTTTGGGGTGTATATTCCAATCCTGGGCCATGTGGTAACTTTATGTTTAGTTTTTGGAGGAACCATTATACCGTTTTCCATAGCAGCAGCACCATCTTACATTTTCACCAGCAATGCACAAGGTTGCAGTTTTTCCACATCCTCACCAACACTTGTCTTTTGTTTTTTAATGACAACCACACTAGTAAGTGTGAAGTGGCATCAGACCATTACACTTCGAGCTTCACATTTTTGTGAACAGGTAGTATACAAAGCTGCCGTCTGTTCTCTATTCTGAATCCTATTCTCTTTGACTTCATGTTCTCCTTGAGCCTCACTTAATTATTGTTGCCTGTGCACAAAGTTGTACACAAAATACTTTCTGTGTAGTTTTTAACAGGAGAACACTGGAGAAAGCCTGAATGTCCACCAGTAAAAGCAAGGTTAAATAACGTGTGCCACACAGAGATTGGGAAATACCATGCAGCAATGAACAAGAACGAGTTACTTCTGTAATGCTGGCACTGTATGAGCTCCACGACATATTGCTAAGTGAAAAAATGAAGCCATACAAGAGCACATTAAAATACACATGTGAATATCCAGAAACGACAATGAACTCAACAAAATTAGCAAGAAAAACAATGCCATCAGAAAGTGGGCTAAGGATATGAATAGATAGTTCTCAAAAGAATGTATAGAAATGGCCAGCAAACATATGAAAAAGTGCTCAGCATCACTACTGATCAGGGAAATGCAAATCAAAGCCACACTGTGATACCAGCCTACTCCTCCAAGAATGGCCATAAAAAAAAAAAAAAGATGTTGGTGTGGATGCAGTGAAAAGGGAAGATGCCCACCCTGCTGGTGGGAATGTAAACTAGTGCACCCACTATGGAAAGTAGTGTGGATATTCCTCAGAGAACTAAAAGTAGGACTACCATTTGATTCAGCACTCCCACTACTGAGTGTCTACCCAGAGGAAAAGAAGTCATTGTACGAAAACTTGCACACTCCTGTTTGTAGCAGCACAATTCGCAAATGCAAAAAGGTGGAACCAACCCAAATGCCTGTCAGTCAATGAGTGGATAAAGAAACTGTGGTGTGTGCATATATATCATATATATGCATACACACGTATGTGTGTATATATATCTCCACTCATTGATATTATATCTATATATATCTTTATATATATGTTGGATCACTACTCAGCCATAAAAAGGAATGAATTAATGGCATTTGCAGTCACCTGGAGGGGACTGGAGATTATTATTCTAAGTGAAGTAACTCAGGAGTGGAAAACCAAACATTGTATGTTCTCACTGATGAGTGGAAGCTAAGCTATGAGGATGCAAAGGCATAAGAATGACACAGTGGACTTTGGGGACTCGGGGGAAGGGGTGAGAAGGGGGTGAGCGATAAAAGAATGCAAGTTGGGTTCGGTGTATACTACTTGGAAGATGGGTACACCAAAATCTCACCACCAAAGAATTTATGTAACCAAATGCCACCTGTTACCCCAAAACCTATGGAAATAAAAAATTAAAAAAAAACAAGCCATAAAAGAGCACATTAAAAACTACACATGTGAATAGATATGTGTCTATCTACATATATACATATCTGTATGTGTAATACACGTGTATATGTATTACTTGTAACATATACAATGATGCACTGTATATAATGATTCTTATATGTGTACAAAATAATCATGACATAATATAAATGAACATATAACTTTTTCAAACATACACAGAAAGCTCTGGAAAAACAGGCAGAGGTGGTTGACCGATTACTTCTGAAAAAGAGACTGAGATGAGTAGGGGAGAGGAATTTCAATTTTTACTTGTGCTTCCAACTGTTTGAGTGCTGTTTCTTTTTTTTTTAACAAGAAGTATATTACTTTTGTAATTTAAAAAATAGAAAAGACAAATATAGTAAGCCCAATTCCCAATGTGCAAGTCGTAAAACACATATCCTCAGTCATGGGGCCCTACCTGTTTTAGGGCATGTAGTGGTAATGCATTATTCTAATGCTTAGTGGGAGGCAGACTCCATTCTAAGCACTTGAAATAACCTATTTATCGCAGAAAACTACACTATGCAGGAGGTTATCCATGTTTTACACATAAGGAAATAAGCTCAGAGGGGTGAAGCTACCCACCTGGAATCACACAGCTAGTGAGTGGTGTATATTCAGTTCTCTAATGGTGAGACTCCTTTTTTCCAGACAGGTACACTGGTAATTTTTTAGAACATGGATTTTAACTTCCGTTTTACTTTTTTTTTCATACTGAGACAGTGCAGGCTGTGTTTGTAGGATTCAAGGACCATTAGGGTCTGGCATTTTGTTCGTTTATTTGGCTTTATTTGAACACAGCTCTGATTATAAGAGCCCTTGGGCATGGGAAGAGTGCCAGGAGTTTGCCATCAGTCTCTATCAGAAATAAATGATGTCGTGTTTCTATTTTAAATAAAGAGAATTACTGGGCAGGACACCCCATAGCTTTGTTCTGAATCCTCAACGTGAATGGAGACTTCATAGATTATCCTGAAGTTGCTGTTGAATTCTCTAATCATGGATACAGGCATTCTATTAATTTGCTCTGCACATGCACCATGCGTAAACAGCTCCTAGAAGCCTTAGTGGGGGCTATGGCATGCCACCTTGCACCGTGTTATCAATAGTGTTGCATTTTCGAGAAGCGTTGATCAGTTACTTTACAAATCATCCTATTCTTTGAATTAGCTCTCTTGGGTGGCACCATCTTTTTTACACCTAAATGAACAGATTTCACAACAAAGATTTCTAAGTGCATCTCTTAAAACTGTTAAATTAATAAACTCAGCTTAACAGAATCTTGATTAGTTCAAAATTGCTTTAAATTTGGTCATTAAGTTTCAGGGAACATGTAATTTTCTCCACATCTGGTACAGCTGCAAGGCGTGAGGGATGAGGACACAGCACTGTAACAAATGCAGAGGAAGGGGAGGAAACGCTTTGTCATCGACGGTTTCTGCACTGCTAGTTTGCAGCCCCCAGAAATAAGCTTCCTGGAGAGACATTAGGCCCTTCATTATTTCTCCAAGAATGTCACCTTCCTGCAGCGAGAAGGCCAATGCAGAACGGCTGGGCATCCAGGGATCTGGGCTCACTTTCTGAGAACCCTGAGAACTCACTGTGTCACTTGACACACGTTCCTCTCTGTGTGCCTCAACATCCCATCTGGGAAATGGGCTGGCATTCTGCATATCCCCTTCCGTTAGCTTGTTGGGGGCTGGGGCTGGTGGGGGAATAGTGGTGTCTTTTGCTAGGAGCTTTTGGACACAGCTGAGATGCATTATTTGGATAATCACATGTCAAGATGCATTTGTCTGTCTTCTCTGCTGTCATGCTGCTGGCTCTTTGGCTCTTCTAGTTGGGACGCCTGGATCAGGTCCGTGAGACTCTGACTCTGATGTCACCTACGTGGTAGCAGCCTGCCTATTCCTCTGCATCTTTCTCTACATTGGGGCCAAGGTTTGACAAGCTCCTCAGCTGACTTGGTGCTCTGTGGCGTCCGACCGGGCTGAGGGCCATGGCGCTTGGGATAGCACCACTTGATTCATCACTGGCAGCTACAGAGGGGCAGGGCAGAGGGAACAGGTCAGTGCTTTACTGGCAATCCCAATGTGAGAAGGAACTGAGGCTGGTTAGCCCAGTGGTGGAAATTCTGTCATTGTGGAAAGGAGGGCCTGGGATGTCAAATCTAGGAATTTTAGAGTTAGATCTGGAATCTGAGTCTGGAGGCAACTTGGATGGAACTCTCTGTGCTTGCGGCCACTGCTAGCAGTAGAGCCGAGTGCCACCTGCAGGAGCAGTGATGATGGGGGTCGGGCCCAGCCCCTGAGTGTGTGCTGCCCACCAGTGTGTGCTGGGCATCACAGCCCCCTCACAACCCTGCACGGTAAGATGTGTGACTCCCATTTTACAGATGAAGGAGCGTGCCTAGCGGGATTATGTAAGTTACACTGTGAGCCAATGACAGGGTTAGGATATGAACCCAGGAGTGAAAAGTGACTGCAGAGTCACCAGAGGGAACAGGAAGAAGGAGAACTGGAGGATGATCTGTCTCAGGCAAGCTTTAGGCTGAAGTTCTAAGTCATGCTCGAAAGGTCTCTGCAGAGTCACTCCTTAGCTTCATTATGCAGAAAGCTTGTGGTCAGGCAGCACTGGGCGGGGGCTTATCCTAGGCCTCTGACCCCACAGGCATCGAAACTTAGAGGAGACCAGTGTCTTCTGTTGGTCCTTTAAAAATAGTCATTTGGGCCTGTCATGGCAGCTCACGCCTGTAATCCCAGCACTTTGGGAGGAGGAGGCAGGAGGATCACGTGAGGTCAGGAGTTCAGGACCAGCGTGGCCAACATGGCGAAACCCCATCTCTACTAAAAAATACAAAAATTAGTTGGGTGTGGTGGCGGGTGCCTGTATTTCAGCTACTTGGGAGGCTGAGGCAGGAAAAATTGCTTGAACTGGGAGGTGGAGGCTGCAGTGAGCCAAGATGGCACCACTGTACTCCAGCCTGGGCAGCACAGTAAGACTCTGTCTCAAAAAAATAAAAAAGCCATTTGCTTACTAGTGTCTGTTTCAAGTCCCAAGTCTCCCATGAAAGCCAAATGCCTTCTGATATTGATGGTACTTCAACAGGTGACTGCAGCCCAATTGTATCGGATGTTTCTGATGACTGAACAGCTAAAGTTCAGTAGCACTTACCATGTCATCAGAAACATGAGGGAAGGGGAGGGGATAGTGGAAGAAGGAACATTGACAGGGACGTGAAGGACACAGGGAGACGGAGTTCTCCCCCTTGTGCGTGCCCACCTGAAGAAGGGGATGGAAGCTTGGGCCACACACAGAGGGTCTGGTCCCAAACGTGGAGAGCCCAGGCAGTGGCTTTTCTGAATGTGATCCCACCTGATAGAATGCGAACACTTTGGATGTCTGGATTCTGTAAGAACCCGATGGAAAGAGAATATGAGGTTTGGGAGATTCTCCTCCCTGGGCATCCCTTTAGATGTTCACGTGGATTTTACAGAAGAGGCTGAGGGCCCAAAGCTGTGGCTAGCTGTCGGGTTTCCATTAATGTCTCCCACCATCTCCAAGGCCTAAATGACAAGGCTCTCGATGACAGCAATGGAACAATGGTAGCCTATATTTTACTCATTATGTTTCATGCCTTCAGCATCTGATACGTAGACAGATACACATGAACAGAGGTGTTTTATACAGATACACATGTAGGTGTGGGACCTAAATTTAAAGGGTGCGTATTAAAAGGGGAATTGTAGTTAATCATATGAGGTATTTCAGCCCGTGAAAGGTGGCCTTTAGCAGCACGACATAAAACAAAAAGCACTTTTAGTAAAAGTCATTCCCTTTACCATCCCCTACTATCCTCCTATCTGGCCAAAATAGAGATACTTTTTTGGTACGTTGGTTTTAAAAACAGCTCTGTCTTCCAAAGACAGGGCAAAGTTTCCTAGTTACTGTTTTTTTAATACTTACTGGTATTCTTAGAGTCCACAGCTTTGAATGCAGCTGGAAAAGATCTATATGGAGGATATATTTAGACAGGTATTGAATACAATAAACTATATTTAAAATATTTGTACGTGGAATTATTTTTTTTATGGTGCTGTTCTTTAAATCACTGAATGAGGTTCCCATCATTTCTCCAAAGGATATATGAGCACTGTCTTTTGGAATATAGATCGTTTTTGCCTTTGAAAGATATCTCACTTAAAAATGATTTCTACAGATGATCTTTTACATACATTTGTTATTGTGGTGAGCATTATATCCTGCTGTTTTACAGCTGCACTTGGAGGATTTCTCCTGAAAATAGCCCTTTATTTGTGGAAAACTGAAAGGGAGAGGGCAAGGAAGAGGACTCGCGATACTTCTTCTGCCTAGAGCTGAGTAAGGAGGGGAGAGTGCTGTGCAGCCCCCAGTCTGACCCTCCTTCCCTGTGCTCCAGAAGCAGCTTGAGGCTAAGAGAAATATTTGGTTCTTCTCTTCTGCTAAGAGGCTTAGAATCCTGTGATTCTTATTTTCCACTTATGCCTGCAAGGCCCTCCTCCCTCCCTCCTTCTCCTTTGTCAATTTGAAGAGCTCTTTCTATTCCTAGCAGTTATCTAGATAACAATCATTTGTTTTTGAGATTGATTCCTATAAAGAGTACATGGAGCATCTCACGGGCTAAAACGTGGTAAATTGTCAAACTTTTCAGAGTAGGAAGATGCCTGCCAGCAAGGTAGAAGGTTTCTGGTTTTATGGTGAAAACAGCCAAACACACAAATAAGCACACACACATAAACCACCGACTGATCCAGCCCAGCAGCAGGTGAGGTT